CCTTCCTGGGAAGAATCGTTTCAACTTCAGGAAAGCAAGGCGAGCTTTCGTTGCTCTCATGTCTGTGTGGAGGAGGTCAAGAGCACTCAGCATAAAAAATAAGATCCGGATTTTGAACTCCAATGTGAACTCAGTGCTACTATGCGCATCACAGATTTGGTGAGTCACGAAGGCCACTTCAAACAAACTGCAGACCTTCATCAACAGCTGTCTTCGCTCAGTACCACTTAAGATCAGATGGCCGGTCAGAAAAGATCAGCAATGAACGAACCAACCCAGCAGAAACGAATTGTGCAACAAATATGCAGGAAGAAATGGATGTGGATTGACCACACTCTGAAAAAATAAACCATCAATTAACATCACACACCAGGCCATCGTTCGAGTGGAACCCGAATGGGGAGTGCCGAGTTGGTCGTCAATGCGAGAATGGGGTGGCATGAAGGAGGTAGTGTGAAGGGGAGGAGATGAAAGCATGTGGACAGACGTGGGGTCATGTGAAAACATTGTCAGAAAACCGAACGCAATGGAGTCGTTTGTCTGAAGCCCTATATTCCTCTAGGAACTAAAGGAAACAATAATAATAACCAAGTCAGTTAGGAGAATTTTAGAAATGAACACACCAACAACAGATTGAGCGGATAAATATGTGTATTCCTTTTCAATTAGTTCCTCATCATCGGCTCTACACTAGGTTTTTACATCAAAATTCTTTCTACCAATCAACGAGGTTTATTATAGTTGATCAGTTTCAAGTATAGAGGGAGGGGTGGCGTTGAAATTAAGAGGTTAAAAGTCATCAAAACTATTAACAAGCAGATGTCAGTAACAAGGCAAATCTAGGTTTTGAAGGAAGGTCAGAAATACTTAATTTTAATTAATCACAGAATTCAAGATCAGTTAGTTGAGCAGAGAATATCCTTTTCGATAATTTCCTCTTCTGGCTCTACAATAATATATACATATGCTTATATACATAGAGTATTCTAGAATAATAAGCAACTATATACACAAATCGTTAGTGTGGCAATGGGGTCACCACTAGGACCTATTCAAGCCGACGTTTTCCTTGTGAAACTAGAAAATGGGCCTTCGAAAGATGTTACTGATGAACTTGAATTCTATTGTCGGTGTACATGGGTCATACATTTTTGATTATGAAAAATGAAGATGAAGCAAAGAACATCCTTGTTGACAAATTTAACGATGTTCATCCTGCAATGAATTTTACCAGTGAGAAAGAAAAAGACTCTAGTATTTCATTTGTAGACGTCCGTATGACCAGAAAAGAGGATAGTACAATAAGAAGACGTGTAGGTAGAAAACCTACATCAACTGACTGTCATTATACTCATTTTTTCAGCTTCGTGCCCTTGAAATCCAAACACGATCTCATAAAATGCCCAAGTTACCAATAGTTCCTAAAAAGGCCTTATTCTTACAAATGCAGTTCCTTTGGGACAACATCAGCGAGATACTAGCACAGCGCAGCATTCCCTGCTGCTGAATTACGCTGTGTCTTCAAAAGCACTCTTATTTTTCTTTCGGGATCTAAAAGATAAATAGCCTGATTTCACCTCTTCCCTGTGAATCTACCAATTTAACTGCTCCTGAGAAGTGAGCCAGTTACATAGGCCGTACAATTAGGCGTGTTTCTCGTCGGATTTCCGAACATCATCCTGCAAAGTGATTAAATAAAGGACTAACAAAATCTATTCGTAGAGCTATTCTATCTCACCTTGTGGATGCAGAATACAAGATTGATGTCAACCAGGTGGCTTTCAAAATTATTTACTGCATACCAACAAATCTTAACTTCACCTTAAGAGTCCATTTACTAAATATTGCTAAGGCCGGTCAGTGGGATCCACATTAAGAAGCCTAATTTATGTGTCCGAAAGAAGTTAGTTCAGACATTATCCTTACCTTGGCCATATAGGTTTGAATGGTCCTGAATTTTGTGGAATTTTCTGAATTTCAGTTGATATTCTATTCGCTACTATATCTTCATTATTATTATAATTTAAGCATATTTAATGAACTGTAATTCCACTGTGATCTTACTTTACAAATCGATATTATTTAAAAAACACTAATATTGTTCACAGGATTTCATCTTGAGCTGACATCAGTTAGAGAGCCATTGGAAAACCTGAGAGTAATGGACAGCTGTTTCGTCCTGGTTTGGGACTCTTCATCAGTGAGCATCCACCTGGATTCGAATCCAGGACCTTCTGGTTACAAGGCGAGCTGGTATACTATTAAGCCGCTGGGACCCAATCCAAAGGCCCATGAATTCTAACTTCTGCTAATTCACGACATAGCGCGACCACTAGCCAATGTAGTCGGCGAGTATTTGTCCTCACACCCGACCTGCTGCACCCTACTGGTCACGACTTCTCACTAGAACCCGAAGTAACTACCTACATGAATAAGGCAAGTCGCTAGTGTGTACCGGTGGATGCGTACTATTGAAGAGTCCCCAACTAGGACGAAGCATCTGTCCAGTACTCCCAGGTTTTCCAAAGGCTCTCTAACTGATGTCAGCTCATGATGAAGTCCTGTAACCAATCAAATCCCTACAAACCAACACTTGAATACTAATATTGTTATTGACTACAATTCTAGAATATTCTATGTTTATAAACATATATATATATATAATTGTAGAGCCAGAGGAGGAGGAAATTATCGGAAAGGATATTCTTTGCTCAATTATTTTTTTTGTTTTTTTATAGATATCTGAATGTTTATTTTCGCTATATCTCAGTTTCTTTTGAAAGGTCTGATTCCTAATTCCAGTATCAAGTTAATAAAACAAGTGAATTACATCTCCGAACAGCATTCAATGTTCAATGTTCGATATTCCAAGGGTTGTACTTCTTATTATTATAAATGCAGCTATATTCAACGAATTTATTTGTCTGTACATTTTTCTTAAAAACAAACTTCTATGCCTTCGATTTTTTGTGATTTACTTTCGCATCAATTTGCTATAAATTATTTAGTTAAAAATTAAAAATATATATTCGACTTGTTATTGTAGTGGTAGGTGCTAATTAATCACTCATCACTTTCATCAAATTTCGCAGCTTTTACTGCATTCTTTTTATAGCAAAAAGTATTAAATGGAGAACAACGGAATTAATTTGTATATCCAATCGATTATGCAATCGATTTATTTATTATTTTTTGTTTATTTAACTTTAAATTTTCTTTTCGTATATAACAGTTGTTCATCGGTGATTCATTCACTTCTCTTTTCTTCCTTTCTTTCTACATGACTTACCATCTTCAAATGACATTAATTTTGTCAAATATGCTGACGACCTGACTGTATCTTTGCCTGTCAAATGTCAAAGCGACTGCTCTAAACTAAATGACTTTCTGTCAGAAATCAGCCTGTGGTCCAAGGAAAACGGTCTTACCTTAAACCCCTCCAAATGCCAAACGGTCAATTTCGCCTTTATGCATAAATCCGACCTATACAAGCTGGTTAGCTCTCACGAGGTGTACAGCATAGATGGCACTGAAATAGAAATCAAGTCGGAAATTAAATACTCAGGCGTCATTCTATCTGCTGATCTCTCCTGGTCGTCTCATATCTTAGCGATTTCTAAGAAAATATTCCGTCTTGCCTTCTACATTAAGAAGTTAAAACATTATGGTTTAACCCAACCCTTACTCCTACAATTCGTTAACTCTCGCATTCTGCCTATTATTCTCTATTGCTCCCCCTTAGTTTTTCCCGGGCTACTGAAGAAAGACTATACCTTATTACGCAAGATGCTAAAGGTTGTCAGCAGGGTAAGCAACGTGCCACTTAACCAGCTTGTTAATATTCTGGCTGACAGGCACATGGACTCATGTGAAAAATGGGCCAAATCCATTTTATCTAACTCACACCACCCTCTTCACTCACAACTCTCCCCTTGCATCTCATCAGACAAAACCAGAAGCCTATATAGAAAACTATATGCTCGTACCAGCAAGTACAAAAACTCAACCATACCCTACTTAGCTCGTGTTGTGTGCGATAAAGAAAGCATTAGGCGTGACACCTATAACTTATTAAATAGTTAGTAGAACAACTGGATCTCGTCTTTCCAGCTCATATCATTTATAGGTACGACATTTTCTTTCTTTCTTTTCCTTTTCTCTCTCTCTCTCTTTCCGTTTTGTGCTGCTTTGTTTCTTTCTTCCACTTACGCCAGTAAATATGATAGCACCTACTTTTCTAACACCTTCAAACACTCTGTTCAATTTTGGCTTTGCTATCGACATGCCAATATGTTGTTGTCATAATGAACTGAGATTTCCTTAATCTATGTAGAATTCTATTTATTGATAATGTACTAACTGGATGCAATACTGTGGTGAAAATGCTGAGCATTCCATTCTGTATCACAAGTACTGTTTTGGAATAAAGCAAATTATTATTTATTATTATTACTACTATTATTATTGGTAACTATCTTCATTAATTTATGTTTGAACTGTTCGATTTCACTTCCGGTATGATTGAACCTTTTGACGATTTTGTGGGTCTCTTCTTTTAAATATACTTTTGGTAGACTTAATGTTATGGTTTTTACTTTGTCTGTCGGGACTGGAGCTCGTAGACGTAGTAGGTATTTTAGGAATGATTTCATTTTTCGGGCGTCAAATGTTGAAAGTATGAGGACTTTTATATCTTGCTTCAGTTTGTGAAAGGCATTCAAAATATCATCCAGTAAACAGTAATACTTTTTCACACTGTGTGATAGAGTCCAAGGGGCTTAATGGTCTACGAGCTAGCTCGCCTTGTAACCAGGAGGTCCTACCTTTCGAACGCTGGTTTCGGGTGCTTACTGATGAAGAGTTCAAAACTAGTACGACGGAAACACCTGGCTATCCAGTACTCCTAGTAGGTTTTCCAATGGTTCTCTAACCGATGATGTCAGCTCATGATAACGTCTTGCAACAAATAATAATAATTAATCAATTAATGACATCAAAACTTACATTGTTATAATACTGCTTTGTTTCCCTTCAGGTTTCTGTTCATCTGCCTCTTTCTTCTCATATTCCTCAGGACTGATTGATATTATAGATCCCAAAGCTCCTTCATTATCGATCGTTTGAACAAATGTCTTCTCATCTAACTTTGTATCTGATAAGGATATCCCATTGAGTTTTGTTTGATACGTGTGATTTATGTTGTTGGTGTTGTTGCTGTTGTTTCTATGGATGGCAGCAGTTTCATTTGACTTGTTAGTTTGTGCAACTTTTACAAAGGTTAAATCAGATGTAGGTTGATGCAGTGCATTTTGATTGTCAAAGTTTGGTTTAGATGTCTTCTTCTTCTCCTCTTCATTTAAGTTGCTTGACGCTTTGTTTGACTGCTGGTGCTGCTGCTGACTGTTGTATTGATTGTAACCTGAGTAGTGATCATGTCCATTAATGGTGGGAGCTTTATTCTGTATTAAGAAAAGAGACAGATTGATTAATGAATTTACACCGATTGTTATGTGATTGGGTTATATAATTATCCGTCACTAGTGTATATATATACATTGTCAAAGAAACCTTAAATAAACATCTTTATTCACAAATGTACCTCTAGTAGAAACAATTAACTACATATGTGAACAAGTGGATAACCAGTCGATAAAACATTAGCATCCGTACTGAAATCTTAAAAGAACTGTTATCAAGATGTACAATGAATGTAAATTTCAAATTCGACGGCACATTTTAGAAACAAATAGACGGGATGGTGATCGACTCCCAAATGGGTCTCATTGTTGCTCATTTCTTTCTAAGTAAACTAGAAAATGGACCTTTGAACAACCACATTATCAGAAAGTTCTTATTGTATTGCCAGTCGGTGGCACAGCGGTTAGGACTGTCGCTGACCATGCACATGGTCCGAGGTTCGATCCGCCGCCGACGCACACCTGATATCTATGGTCGGCCTGCTAAATTTGGGCCACCGATATCACATGCTGAAAATTTCACACTTGTACCAAAATACTGTGCGGAATCAAGCTATAATAAATAAAAAAATAAAAATAAATAATATGGATGACACTTTCATTCTTTGTGATAATAATTCGGATAGGAGTACTATAATAACTGAATTCAATGAAGTACATTCGGCTATAAAATTCACGTGCAAAGACGAATCCCAAAATAGAATTGCCTTCCCAGATGTCCTCCTTACAAGAAAATCAGATGGTAGTATGAAGAGAAACTTGCAAAGTAAAAGCACATGGACAGGACAATATACACATTTTCACAACTTTGTTCTTCTCAAGTACAAAAGAAATTTAGTGAAGACCCTCAGCCACACGGTTAGTTAGAGCTGTATGCGCAAAAGAGGTAACTGAAGATGAATTAAGTATTGTATATGATACCTTGATTGAAAATAGCTATCCCGACAAATTTATCAAGAAACACTTGACAAAGAAAGCGGAAAAGGACTACTCACTATCCGTAAACAAGAAGCCACTTTATATACGACTACAATTCAACACCAAGTGATATAATTACGAGGAAATTAAAAAAGTCATTTCAAAGAACTTTTAATGCTGGCGTACTATAAGTCTTATTCTGTACACGACCGAAGGGAATTCTTCGACGGAAAATGAAGTAACTAGACTAGCCACTTCTAATTGTATTTACCAATTCAACTGCCCTTGTGGAGCGAGTTATATTGGCTGTTGCTCTAGGAACTGGATATTTCCTGCTCAAGAACATCTCCCAGTATTATTAATTAAAGGCGTAGTAAAAACCATCAACAGTTCGATATTAGATCATCTGATCCGAACCGGTCACAAAGCCAGCATTGAAGAATCCTTTTCTATCATCCACGGGGTACCAAATAAATTGCCAAAACCATCGAAGCACTGCATGCTCTAAACAGCAGAGGCTATGGCAATTCAATTGAAACAACCAGTGGTTCTCATCATCGTGGAAAAAGTATGTCCAAGTATTTAATTTAATTTAGTTTATATTTTTGTATTGTCCAGACTGTAATCAGACAGTGGAGAAGAATCCAGTGAAAATAAGGATAAACGATGAGCTACTATTGTCTTCCTGGTACATCTCCGTCGTTCTCTCTTTGTTAAAATTTACAGAATATTCTTTGACGATCAGTCTTATGCATAGGATACCTTTTTCGCATTCTTATGCATTCCCAGTAAAACCTAGGACATCAAGCCATTAAACTTTGAGGTCCCAGTAGCAGTAATTGCGTTATTCCTCTTCTTATGACAGGGGGGAGTTTTACTAGTCTCACACACCTATGGAGCTTACTACTCGGATAGTTTAGCACAGACTCGAAGACCTACAGGTGAAAACCAACAAACTGGCAGAAAACGCTGTCAACTAAGAGAGGAATCCAGGTGAACATAGAGAAGACTGAAATGATCAAGATAATCAGTCAACAGAATCATCATGAAAAACAACCGGTACAAATCACTATCAAAGGAAGAGATTTGAATGAGGTTACCTCCCTCCTTCAATTATCTGGCTAGGAAGCACGTTTTCAACAAGGAGCACATGGCACGGATGAAGATTTTAAAGCCAACCAGCCAGAATTGGAAGGGCGAAATACACCTTCATCAACCTGAAACCAATTCGGAAATCTTCTGCTCTCACTCAGCCAGCAGCGTAAAGAACAAGATTCGGATTCTGTTCAACACAAATATCAAATCATTCTCTCAGTTCTTTGATACGGGTCGGAAACTTGGCGTGGGCGCCACGTAAAGGACTTCCAACAAGTTATAGACGTTTATTAACAGCTGTTGTCTTCACCGGCTGGCTCCATATTGAAGATGAAATGGCCAGCCAGCCGGTCAGAAAGAAAGAATTAGCAACAATAAACGCTCTCTGGGAATAAACCAACAGGAGAGAGCCGACTGTTGAACAAAAATATATGGGAGAAAATGGAGACGGATGGATCTGGCATACGATGAGGAGGAGGTCGTCGAATGACATCGCGCGCAATGCAGGCCATGCCTCAAGTGGAATCTCAATAGGAAGCAACGAGTGTGTCGTCAGTGTGACGTTGACGCGGAGGAGATAATGTGAGTTGTAGGAGATGAGATATTCTGGGCAATCGTGTGGCTAGCCAGTCGAAGAGGAAGGCAGAAAACAGAAAAAAGTGGAGACAGAGTGTAGTTGAAGTCGTATATTCTACTTGGAACCCAAGGGAATAATAAAAATTAAAGGCAACGACGAGATTGAACCTCCGACAATGTGAGGCATGGTTTGACAAACCGTTAATAAACTAAATACTCGAATAATATACTTCACTTCCTCTGAGATTTTTTCAAATATAATCATACTTATATATATGCATAATTTTTAGACAGGTATATAATATCTAGCCAAATTTGATAAAAATATATCCAAGTAAGCAATTAACCTAGAATCAAAATTTTGTTCTATTTCACTTCAATACACACAAAAGTATTAATGCCTGAATCTATACAACATGGATTGGATATTTATGTGCAAATCTGAGTGTGTGTGCCTGTGTGGGTGCGGTGTTCTCATTTTAAGCCAGTAATGTGTTGTTGAACTGCCAACATTTGTATTGCAATTATACTTAACTGATTATATTTGATGTGAATAAACATTGTCAGTATTTTTAAGTAGTATATATACATATATATATATATATGCCCTATTGAGTTTTTATACAATCACACCTCTCTCTGTCTCTATGTATTCATCTATGAATAGTGCTCAGATATAAATATAAATATAGATATACTTGGACACATATTTGTGGATAGTGTTAATGATTATTGCCATTGTCAGGCATATCAGGTTATAGCAATTGCCATCAGGAGTGAAACTTTCAAAGTGGTGGTGTTAAATGGTGATAGAGATGATTGTATATACATTACATATATTGGCATCCATATGTCTGTATATGGATGATACCTTAGTGATTTGGTGTTTTATAACTCTTAATAATGTGCAGTATTAGACAGAAAATAAACAATATATCATTCGTTATACTACTACTACTAATTGTCCCGGGTTATGCGATGGCGTTCATTCTTATCGTTATCAAATTTCAAAACTATATATATTAGCTAACAGTGAGGAACAAAATTCTGTATAAAATGTTAAAATTATGTGAACAAAATTAAGTATGAAAAAAATTATCTTTTTATAAAGTTGGTTTGTAAGGATTACACTTGTTTTTACGAGTTGATTACAGATTGGCATCAGTTAGAGAACCATTGAAAACCAGCACTGGAGTAGTGGACAGCTATCTGTTTCATCCTAGTTTGGGAATCATCGGCAGTACGCAGCCACTGCCAGGGGTCAAGCTGAGGACCTTCTGATTATAAGGCAAGCTCGTATACTATTCAGCCACTGACGACATTGGTCGGGGTCATGCTAAATCACGAATTAGTACAAGTTAGAATTCATGGACTGGCCATCGAATCGGGTCCCAATGGCTGAATGGTATAAGAGCCAGCTTAACTTGTAACCAGAGGGTCCTGGGTTCGATCTCTCATGGTGGGTGCTTACTGCCAATGATTCCCAAACTAGGATGAAAAAGCTGTCTGTCCAGTACTCCGAGCTGGTTTTCAATGTTTCTCTAACTGATATCAATCCGTGATCAACTCGTAAAAATAAAACTATCGTCAATGACTGGCATACCTATGTATCATTTAGAATCCAAGGTCTATTCCACAAATAAGTCAGTGAAGTTAGATGCCTCGTCTCTGCATCAACGCTTGTTTCTATTATTATTTTTATTATTCCCTTGGGTTCCAAGTGGAATATACGGCTTCAGCTACACTCTGTCTCCACTTTGTTCTGTTTTCTGCCTTCCTCTTCAACTGGCTAGCCACACGATTGCCCAGAATATCTCATCTCCTCCGTGTCAACCTCACACTGACGAACTACTCGTAGCTTTCTATTGTGATTCCACTTGAGGCATGGCCTGAATTGTGCGCGATGTCATTCGACAACCTCCTCCTCATCGTATGCCAGATCCATCCGTCTCCATTTTCTCCCACATATTTGTTCAGCAATCGGCTCTCGACTGTTGGTTTATTCCCAGAGAGAGGTTCTGGTTGCTAGTTCTTTTTGACCGGCTGGCTGGCTGGCTTTTCATCTTCAATATGGAGCCAGCCGGTGAAGACAGCAGCTGTTAATAAATGTCTATAACTTGTTGGAAGTTTTTTTTGTGATTCGCGCGCCAAGTTTCTGACACGTATCGAAGAATCAACAGAGTGACTTAACATTTGTGTTGAAAATTCGAATATTGTTCTTTACGCTGCTGTCTGAGTGAGTGCAGAAGATTTCCAAACTTGTTTCAGGTTGATGAAGGTGTATTTCGCCTTTCCGATTCTGACTGGTTGGCTTTGACATCTTCATCCATACTGTTGCCTGTAGTTGAAACGATGCTTTTTAGCCAGATGACCGAAGGAGTTAACCTCATTCA